AGGCAGAGCATCCTGACACATCCAGCACTTCAGGAGGACATTATAGGCTGGGATTTGGGGAAGTTCAAGAGGGCAAGTGCAGGTTCAATCCCCAGTGCCAGGGCAGGCTGAGGGGGGCATGCTTAAGCAGCTCTGGAGAAGGACATGAGGTTGCTGATGGGTGAACAGTGGAGCTGGTCGGGCAGCCATTGGGTGAAGAGGGATCCAGAGAGCATCAGGAGGAGCAGAGCCAGGCGGTCAGGGAGTGATCATGCTCCTCAGCCCTGCCCAGTGAGGCACATCAGGAGTGCCAGGTCCAGCTCTGTCCTATGCTGCGTCCAGATCTGTGTCCAGTGCCGTATCCAGTTCTGAGCTGCTCTGGATCCAATCCTGTGCTCAGGGATGACACTGCCTGAGCTGGTAGGTTGGGTCTGGTGCCCATTCTGGGTCCTTCCAGCCTGACCCATTCTGGGATTTGGGGATTCTGGCAGTTTTGGTTCAGGAATTGTCCACAGGATTCAGTAGCAAGCGCCAGGAAATCAGCGGCACTCTGCATGCGCTGCCCCCAACTGCAGTCCTGGCTGCTAACAGCAGACGGCAGCACAAGCCGCTGGTGCTGCCGAGCGCCCGCCCCACCCCATCCCAGCCCTGGGGGCTCTGCAATGGTTTGGGATGGAGCGACCTTAAAGCCCATCCTGTGCCAGCCCTGCCATGGGCAGAGACATCTTCCCCTTGGCTGGGCTGCTCCACGCCCTGCCCCACACGACCTCGACCCTTCCAGCATGGGTCAGCCACATCTTTGTTATAGATGGGTAATGTGATGATTGTCTCACAATTAAGGGAATGGATATTGTGTATGTTAAGAAAAGTTTTGTTGATGAATGGTTATGTTATTGTAGTTTGCTGTTTGGGCACCTTCTGTTCTCCCCACAGTCTCCTTTCCCCCTCTCTGTATTGTTGTCACCAGATGGCCCTGGTTGTCAGGGTTGTCAGGGTCATGTGGAGGGAGGGCATGTACCTCTGCCCCTTGCATGGGGCAGTCAGGAAAGGGCAAAGCCTGTTGCTGGGGAGACATGGCATGACAACACCTCACCTCCAATCAGACTTAAGGAAGGTCTTCACCAATAGACAGCAAGGAAGAGTCACCTGGAAGACTTTGGAAGGGGCCAGGCATTTATATAGAAAGTTTTTGAGTATTTATGACTGCTTACAAATTTGTATTTGCCTGATGCAAAACCAGGGGTATAAAAGGCAGAGCCGCCATTTTGTTAGACGAGTCTCTGGCAGTTGGCCATGCTCCCAGTGTTGTCTTTTTTTTCCTTATTCAGTCCCTTTGTTGTGTTGTTTGGTTTAATAGACATTTAACATTTTTAAATGAGCTCTCCTTTGTCACAGGTTTCTTTTTTTTGTTCCTTTTTACTTACAGAATTTTTTCCCATAAGTTGCTAGGAAACACTAATGACTGGGTACTTAAGAAAAGCAAAAGAAATGGCCAAGCTCAGGGAAGGAGGGTATCTGGTTGCATTTATCTTACCTGGGAGTCTCTCTCTGAGGGGCAGAGATACTGTGAGAATTGGCCAGGTCAATGATGCAGCTAGGGCAACTGCTGGCTCTCTCTCTCTCTCTCTCTCTCTCTCAGCTTTGGAGAAGGATGGTCAGAGCTGCTGCTTGGGGAAGGGAAATCACTGCTGCTGCCACAGCCCAGCCCAGAGCTGCTTCTTCTGCCATGGGGTGAGCCTCTGCTTGTGAGATGTGAGAAACACGTTCACTCTCCTGTGAAAATTTAGAAAGTTTAATAAAGGAGAACAGGAGACTAAGACAGTAAAAGAAATATTACGGCTGGGTGCATCACAGCACTCAGCCAAGAGCATGCCATCATCTTCAGGGAAACCCCTTGAATACCTTTTCCATTACATCAGCCCATTGCATACTCATAGATCGTTATGCATATCCATATCTTGGCATAAACTAGTAACATATTCCAGGAACTATTTTACATGGCTCATCCTTGGATCTGCCTTTTTAGAGCATGCCTGTTTCTTGGCTGTGGTTTTGGCTCCTTCTCTTTATCACTTCCAGTCTGGGCCTTGGTCTATATTTTCTTCAGATGGCAGATGCTGATGGTTGCCATATCAAAAGCAGGGTCCACATGACATGTGCACTGGATGTTACCCCGACTAAACAGACACTTCACGTGTACCTACATCAGCTACCACTACTACCATGTCTAAGATTTTGTTAATAGCAGAAATAAAAGCAAAGTGATTTTAAAATACACATACAGCATTCATCTTAATATTTGCAAAAACCCAAGAGATTTGATTTTTCTCCCATTCTCTTTTCCCTTTTTTCTCATTTCGTCCAGGGAAAATGGTAGGGGTGGCTTTGGGACCTTGATGACCTCATTTTTCTGGGAGCCATGGTTGCCTTGGTAGCGCCTGTGAGAAAAGACCGCTCACTTTAAATTTCTAAAGGTTTATTAAACCTCAACAACACAATAAAGGGACTGAATAAGGAAAAAGGGACAACGCTGAGACTGTGACTAACTGCCACAAAATGGCAGCTCTGCATTTTATACTCCTTGTCTTGCATCAGGTAAATACAAATTCATAAGGAGTGGTACATATTCAAACATTTTCATTATAAATGCCTGGCCACTCCAAAAATCTGCCAGTTGACTCTTCCTTGCTGTCCATTGGTGGACACCTTCCTGCAGTCTGACTGGAGGTGAGGTGTTGTGATGCCATGCCTCCCTCGCAACAGCTTCTCCCATTCCCAGCTGCCACATGCACGGGGCACAGGTACACGCCGTCCCTCCACATGACCCTGACAACCCTGACAACCAGGGCCATCTGGTGGCAACAATACAGAGAGGGGGAAAGGAGACTGTGGGGAGAACAGAGGGTGCCCAAACAAACTACAATAACATAACCATTCATCAACAAAACTTCTCTTAGCATGCACACTATCCATTCTCTTAATTGTGAGAGCCGGTCATCACATTACCAATTGATAACAAAGCTGTGGCTACCACACACCTGGAAGGGTTCAAAGCCAGGTTGGGCAGGGCTGGAGCAGCCTGGCCCAGAGGAAGATTTCCCTGGCCATGGCAGGGCTGGCACCGGACAGGCTTTAAGGTCGCTCCATCCCAAACCATTGCAGAGCCCCCGGGGCCGGGATGGGGCAGGGCAGGTGCTCGGCAGCGCCAGCAGCTCGTGCTGCCGCTTCTGTTGGCACCCGGAACTGCAGCTGACGGCGGCGCATGCAGAGTGCTGCTGAATTCCCACGCTCGCTGCTGCCCTCCTGTGGACAATTCCTGAACTGCAACTGCCAGAATCCCCAAATCCCAGAATGGGTCAGACTGGAAGGACCCAGAGTGGGCACCTGGCCCAACCTCCCAGCTCAGGCAGCATCATCCCTGAGACCAGGATTGGATCCAGAGCAGCCCAGGAGAAGACATGGCACTGGTCAGAGCTGGACACAGCACAGGACAGAGCTGGACATGGCACTCCTGATGTGCCTCACTGGGCAGGGCAGAAGGGCATGATCAATCCCTGACCTCCTGGTTCTGCTCCTCCCGATGTCCCCTGGATCCCTCCTGCCCCAAGGGCCACATGGCCAGCTCCACTGTTCACCCATCAGCAACCTCATGTCCTTCTCCAGAGCTGCTTAAGCATGTCCCCCCCCAGCCTGCCCTGGCACTGGGGACTGTCCCTCCCCAGGGACATGACCTGCCCTTGCCCTCTTGAACCTCCCTATTTCCAGCCTTTAATGTCCCCCTGAAGTGCTGGATGTGGCAGGATGCTCTGCCTGGAATGGGGCCAAGGGACAATACACCATTTGTGGGCACCAGGGCAGAATTGAGAGGGGTCTGCTGCTGATTTTGGTGCTCAATTGGCCCAAAACCAGCCCAAATCACCAACCCAAAATTTACAAGTGATGGTGGATCACCAGTGGTGGGCCTGGCTGTCTATCGCCTGACTCTGGGAATGTCCAGTCCCCACTCAGACAGAGATTCCTCTCCCTGTTCCTGCTTGAAATGAAATGTGCATGAGGTTCCCCTTTCGAGAAGGAGATGCTTCCCAGGGTTCCTCCTTGAGGCTGAGAGAAAGAGACATTCCCACGAGTGTTTTCTGGGGAGTGACATGGAGCCCCGCTTAAGAATGGTCCATTTTTGCTGGCTTTGTCAGAATTATTTAATGAAATTGTTTTGATAGAATTATTTAATAGAATTGCTTTGCACAATGGCCCTGGCTGCTCGGTGGCCAGAGTGGCTGTGGTAGCCTTTTGGGTGGGGGAGTCTTGGTGATCAAGGTGGTCATAGTGGCCATGGTGGCCAGAGTCCCAGGGGTGGCTACAGCAACCATAGTGACAGTGGTGGCAACAGTGGCCTCATGGTGGCCTTGGTAGCCTAGGTGACCTCATTTCTCTGGGGATCATAGTCCTTGGTAATTGCAGAGACCATGGTGGCCTTGGTGGCCTCGGGGATCAGACAATCCTGATGGCCACTGCCAGGGCAGCAGTGCCCAGGAGGAGCCCTCTGAGGTGGGAGGGGGCCCTGGGGATGATCCTACCTGGGGGAAAAAGAGGATGGTGAGGGATCCGTGGGGGTGAGGTGGTTAAGGGCAATCAGAGAAGGGTCAGGGGTTACAGGGGGGGCATTTGAGGGTTTCAGGTGGAATGGAGGATGATGGGGATCAGGGGGTCAGGAGGGCCATGGGGCGTGTGAGGGGTTCAGCGGGGGGTTGGTATGACATGAGATGAGGAGTGACAGGAGAGACTGGGTCAATGGGCAGGGTTGGGGATGACCAGTGGCTGGGGTGCAGGAGGGAGATTGGTGGTCAGGGGGCCACGGGAGCTTTAGGGATGATGGGGTGTCAGGGGGGCAGTGGGGTAATACAGGGAGCAAGGGGTTTCAGGGGGTCATGGTGGGCTTCAGGGATGGCAGTAGTCAGGGCTATATAGGGGGTGCACTCCTGTGCCATGAGGGGTGTCAGGGGGTTCAAGAGGTTCAGAGGGGATCAGGCTGGTCCTGATCCAGGCCCACCCATGTCCAGCACACCTAGCCGGTCCCTACAGAGCTGGTCTGCAGAGGGGAGGGACAGAGACAGCAGAGGAGGGTTTCTATCTCTGTCCATTTCCCTGTCCTTGTACCTGACATTCCCTGGAAGGGGTGTCGCTGTCCCCTCCCAGATGTGGGGGTTCCCATCCCTGTGCCATGTCATGGGTGTCTCTGTCCCTGTCCCCCATCACCTGTGGGTGTCATTTTCCCCTGTGCCTTTCTCATGGGTGTCCCCATACCCGCAGTGGGTATCCCTGTCTTCCAGGTCTTCCCCATGATGTCACGTCGCAGCCACTCGCAGCTGTATCTGCTGAAGGTCCCGCTGGAGCGGAGCTGGATCAATGCCCTGTCTCCTTCCTGGGTGACACTGGTGACCTCAAAGTCTCGAAGGGTGGGATCAACACCTCCTCCTCCTCACTAGGATTGGAGGAGAATTCTCGGATATCCTTGCCAAAACACGTCTGCACCTGGAACATTGTGTCTGTCCCAAATTGCTGAGCAATCTGTTTATGCAGCGATGTTGACGTGAATCGACCAAACCGGATGGTGTCACCACACCGTGCTTTGAACCGGACACCACGCACCCCCCGAAACACATGGTGACATCGTGGTCCCCGAATGTCCCTCAGTGTTGCCAGAGCATCGGTCAGCAGGAAATGCAGTGTTCTGAAGTGGAAGTTGTCCCAGTATTCCTGCCGGGAGCGCCCAGCCACATGCACGGCAGCATTGAACTCCTTGTACATGTCCTTCATTGTGTAGGTCATGAGGGCAATGGCCTGGGCTGGGGACAGAGGGGTCACAGGGGGCCCCCGCCTCCACCACTGGTCTGCAGCCTTCACCCACGTCTGGGCAAACAGAGGGTTCTGCTGGAACTCAAAGTGGTTGAGGGCTGGCAACAACTCGGTCATGGTGTGTCGACAGCCTGGGTACTGGTCATCAAAGGAGTTCCGGGCCATGTCCAGGGGCACAACCATGAAGGCTGTGTTGGCCATGGTCATTGCCAGCAGTGCCAGGGTCCAAAACAGGGGATCCAGACAGGGGAGATGCCACCAGGAGCAGTGTGGGACACTGGGGGACACTGGAAAACTTGGAGGACACTGTGGGACATGGGAAACACTAAGGAACACAGCAGAACACTGATGGAACACTGAGAGGATGCTGAGGAGATATGGGGGAACACAGAGGGACATGGAGGGACACCAGGGAACACAGGGAAGGTCCCTCAGTCAGGGGCTGGGGAAGGAGGGCGGTGTCAGCCTGGGGAGGGGGGCAACCTCGGCCAGGAGACCCCTGTGCACATCCTGGGAGCCTGATCCCAAATCCTGAGGTGATTCCTGGATGTCCCAGTGTCCTCCAGACCCCCCATGGACCCCTATCCCACTCCCACAATCCTGTGTCATTCCCCAGGGATCCCCTCCGCCCCCCCAGGATGCCAGCCCAAAGATGAGGATCACCTCCTGCCCCCTGCAGTGTCTTCCAGCCTTCTCATGGCCCCAGTCACACTCCCAGTCTCTCCTTGCTGCCCCCCAGAGCCCTGTGAACCCCAGTCCCATGTCCCCCAGCGTCCCCCAGCTTCCCTCTGGACTCCAATCCCACATCACATTCTCCCCAGGGTCCCACCAGTGTCCCCCAGGGCCCCAGTCCTGATGCCATGATCCCCTCCCCCCGCCTTCCCCAATGTGTCCCCTGGAATCCCCCCAGCCCCTGATACCGAAATTGGCTGCAGTGACCTCCCTGATGGAAGTGGATGTAGCCGAAAGCCGGAATTCTTTATCAGCTCAGATTCACAGCAGATCTCTCCTGGTCCTGTAAGCTGGGGAAACTTTGCCACAGGGAATTTATCCACCGTAATTAAAAATAGTCATAAAAATCGGCCTCCTAGCCAATACAGAAACAGCACTTTTCCTGTAATCAATTTTCATAGCTCTGTCTCCCTCTGGAAATTCTCTTGTTGTCCTGGAGAGTTCCTATAAAGTGATCAGGAAGTCATTTTCATTGACTCCCCCAACATCTCAGATGACCTCGCCTCAAACTTCTGCTTTTGGCAGGCGCTGCTCCTTCTGTGTTATAGAATTTGTCAAAAACTCCACTGGAGTTCCCTTTATCTCTTTCTCCACTGCATCAAGGCACTTTTATTGTCCTGTGTAAATTCTTTTCAATTGTTTTATCATTTTTGAGAATCAGACTTTAAGCTCTACCCAGCACCTTCAGTATGTGAGGAAAAGCCACACTATGAAAAGCCAAGTGTACGAAAAGCAGTCTTGAAACTTGATTGAAATAAAGGGACAGAGTTTCCGCAGCCAAATCCCTGTGAGGTTTCTCTCTCCAGGTTTCAGAGGGCGCAACCTCCTTTTATCCCAAACTCCTGGCTGCAAGTTGCTCTCTCCCTTTCCCCATTGGCTGAGGTACCAGGGAGGTGCAGCTCTCCCAAACCACCTACCCCACATCCCCCTTGAAGCTGACATTTTCTCCCAAAGTTCAGAAGTTCAGGCTGTCAGGGTTATGGAATAGACCGTGTGGGGACCAATTTCTCTTATTACCCGAATGTTCAGGACTTCAAACTTTCTGGTCAAACCACAAGGGTTTTGTGATAAACTTCATGTCTTCTCTTGCAGAGATGTCAAGAGCCATTTTGAAGACAACTGACAACAATTTCTCCTAAGGACCCCCAACTCAGTGAGTCCTTTTTCCAAGACGTCACAGCCCATCTTTCCTATAAAATACTTCCCTGTGGCAGTGGTGATGCCCTGGCACAGGCTGCCCAGAGAAGCTCTGGCTGCCCCATCCCTGGCTGTGTCCAAGGCCAGACTGGGCACTGCCTGGAGCAGCCTGGCCCAGGGGTGTTATAGTGTGTTCAATCTGACACAGGATCAGGCCAAGGCGATAGTGGCCACATGTCCCCGGTGCCAAAAAGATTAGATGCCCGCCATTGCCTCAGGGGCTAATCCCCAAGGTCTGGCGAGCTGTGAGGTGTGGCAGATGGACGTAACACATATCCCGTCTTTTGGTCGATTGTGTTACGTCCATGTCTCAGTGGACACCTTCTCCGGGGCTATTTATGCTTCTGCCCACACAGGGGAAAAGGCAGCGGATGTCCAGAAGCATCTGCTTCAGGCATTCGCTGTCCTGGGCATCCCTAGGGCCTTAAAAACAGATAATGGCCCAGCGTACACATCCAAGGAGCTGCGGAGCTTCCTGCAGCAATGGGGAATAGTGCATAAGACCAGCATCCCCTATTCCCCGACAGGCCAAGCCATGGTGGAGAGGGCTCACCAGAGCCTTAAGAAGATTCTATCCCGTCAGCAAGCGGCAGTGAAGGTGGAGACCCCCCACGTCCGGTTGTCGAGAGCACTGTATACACTCAACTTCTTAAACTGCTCTTTCGACAACCAAAATCCTCCAGTGGTCCGGCATTTTGGCAGCCACCAGCAGCTGCAGCCTAAAGCCAGGCCTCCGGTTCTTGTCAAGGATCCGGAGACCTGGTGGACGGAGGGGCCCTTTGACCTGGTGACCTGGGGGAGGGGATATGCTTGTGTGTCCACTCCCTCAGGCCCCAGGTGGATACCATCAAAATGGGTCAGGCCCTCCGTCCCGAAACAGAGGACACAAAAAGAGGCAGTACTACAGATCCGGCAAGCGTGTTGGCGGCAGCGGCGGAGGAAACCCTTCTACTGAACACCATCTTTCTCTCCGGAACTCCCTGCAGTGTCTGAGGAGCCCTCTCCTCCTTCTTCCCCTCCACCCCTTGACCTTTTATGGCACGTTCAGTCCTATTCCTCCACTCCAGCTCTCTCTCCACTAATGTCAAATTTAAGTTGGTTGTTTGAGGCAGAACCATTTGTGTGAATTCTTTATACTTTTACTGCTTTCTTTTGTTTCAGTTGCACCTCCCCGATGGCCCCCGCACTGTCATCGCTGGCTCCCAACCCTGGCTTGCTACTCATGATATTAACGACCTACGGACTCCTCCTGCCATCCTTGGAGCTGTGGGTCATCCCCCAGCCGAAGGTCAACGTCTGGCGTGCCTTGGCTCAGTCGTTGGGACAGGATCACATTTGCCTTGACACCGGCGCGGCAGAGGACCCGATGTCGTCTTGCCTTGTGGGGATCCCTTTCTCTCCAGGCAAGTTTCCCTCCGCCTTCCAGTCTGCCCTTTCTCCTATTTTGGCCCGGAGCCTCACTATCCTCCCCAGTTTTGATTCCTCCAATGCCTGGAGAGACAGAGTGGTCAGGCTGGATCCTGTACCCTCCGAGCCCACTGAGCTACACCTTCTCGGTTCGGCCAATTCTTCCATTTGTTTTCAGTTCGATTATACCATTACCCCCATAGAGAGGGGCAGTGAGGTGGTCCAGCAGTCCAAAAAAGAATACCAAGCTAACCAGTGGTGTCGAGCGGTGTTGAAGATCAGTGGCCCCACCACTACTGGACGGACCCCTTACGACCTTCCTAGGGGAGTGTTTTTGATTTGTGGCGACCGAGCGTGGGCAGGCATCCCCTCTGGTCTGGTCGGAGGGCCATGTACCTTCGGCCGGCTGACGCTGTTTACCCCCAACATCACCCAAATTATCAATTGGAAGAGAACAAACATCACATCCGAATTGGCTAGATCTAAAAGAGATCTTAAAGATCTCACTGAGGATTGTGATGACAAAATTATCCATTGGTCACACTCAAAATCCATCGCTTTTACCATTTTATTGCCGTGGGTATCAGTGGTGAAGTCTCTAGGTGAATTGGGCCGCCTGGAGTGTTGGGTGGCTAAGCAAGCCAATTTTACTTCAGCCACGCTATACGACCTCCTTACGGACGAGGAAATAACAAGGAAGGCGACGCTCCAAAACAGGCCAGCAATAGATTTTCTATTGCTGCTTCACCATCATCACTGTGAGGAGTTTGAGGGCCTCTGCTGCATGAACCTGTCCTCTCGAGCCGAGGACGTCAGACACTCCATCAAGCGGCTGCAAGACCTCTTACACCAGGTCAAACAAGAGACCTCGGACTGGCTGGGGGACATTTTTAAGGGTTGGGGCCTTAGCAGGTGGGCCAGCTCAGTTGTAGAATCTGTTTGTAAAGTTGTTCTAAGCTTCATTATACTTTTAGTTTTTGTTGCTTTGATCCGCGGCTTGGTCAAAAGACTGATGGCCAAAACAGCCTTGCCCAAAGTGAACCATGCCGCCGTTCTGCCTGACAAGCCCATCAAGCTGGAGGACCTCTCCTCGGAGGCCGGAGAAGCTGCAGATGAGGAGGGGTCGACCGCGCCACCCCTCGACCATCTATGGGCGGGCGGACTCCAGCTTGAGGAAGGCGAGGCCTGGCCGGACCTACCGCGAGTCCCTGTGTTTTAAGTTTATATGGACTTTCCCGTTCTTTTAATTTTATTTGTTAAGAAACGGGGAGATGTTGTAGTGTGTTCTTAAGTTTCTTGTTTTGCTCCCCCATTTTATGTATTGTTCCCCCCTTTTTCTATGTAAAATGGTTCTGCCCTGCCCAGTTTTCCCACCACAGCCCTTTTGACAGTTACGTTTCTATGGTTACCCCTGCCCCTTGCTTTGTCAGTCAAGTAAGTTATGTAATTTCCCCTCCCTTATTTCTCCTTATAAGTAAACCTTTTCTCCTCCCTGGGCCCAGTCAATCACCCTCCACTCCTCCTAGTTTTCGAGAACCTTCTTCTCTCTGGGGGTTGTGGTTGGCTGTGGTCCCAGGGCCCCTCCTTTACTTTGTATTTATTGGATACCTTTGTATGTCAGTTATGTTAAGTTCCTCCCTATGCCTTTCCCTATTGGTTAGCTGGGCATCCCTCCCTTATCCACCCCCCACCTTTAAAACCTTGTTACTGCCACTGCTTGTGGCCATTTGCTGGTCGGTGCCTTCCCTCGGTTGATGCCCCCAGACCATCAATAAACCGACCTTCATCCCCAGCAAGTGTCCGACTCCTTCCTCTCGTCCCGCCAGCGTTGCAAGTCCAGTCCGCGATCCAGCCCAGCCCGAGGCCAAGACGCCAAAGGGGGCTAGCATTCCATGCAGCTGAGGCGTCGGCCTTTATCCATCAGCTAGCCGGACTTTGGCCATATACGCCTCGCTGCACAGGGGAAGATGTCCCTGCCCATGGCAGGGCTGGCACCGGACAGGCTTTAAGGTCACTCCATCCCAAACCATTGCAGAGCCCCCGGGGCCGGGATGGGGCAGGGTGGGCGCTCGGCAGTGCCAGCAGCTCGTGCTGCCGCCTGCTGTTGGCAACTGGAACTGCAGATGGGAGTGGCACATGCGCACTGCTGCTGATTTCCCACGCTCGCTGCTGCCCTCCCGTGGACAATTCCTGAACCGCAACTCCAGGAGATGAGAGGGTGAAGAGGGAAAATCCCTGGTTTGAAAGGAAAAAGAGTTTCCTGAGACAAACATGAGGGGTTTTCATCAATAAATGGGTGGTGCTGCCTCTCTTCCCCAGCCTCAGTCTGCTTTATAATCTCAGAAATGCCATCAGTCCCCAATGAGCAGCACCTGTTCTGAGCTCCTCCAAGCTTATCAGGGGTACAGTTTCCTCCCAGGAATTCCTGCTGCATGGATAACAAGTTCCTCCTTTAACATACAGCCCTGTGAACTCGTTTTTCTTGCCTGAAGAACAACTCAAAAGGAACCTTTTCTCTATGGAACTTTCAGAGAGAGCTCCTGGCCTGAATTGCAGCTGGGATGGAAAATGACCATGGCCAAAGTCCACCCTCTCTCCTGTGACCTGTAAACGCCTCCTGGAGCCTTTTCACAGTGATGGACACATTTTTATACCTTTATCGTTATATAACTACATATTGATTATCCCACTTCTATTTTTCTATTGTATACATTGATTTCATCCAAGCATTTTTTTTTAAACTTCCATCAAACCCCCCGACATCGTTTCTCATGATTCTTGTTACGATTAAACAATAATTATATACAATTGCCAAACAATCATCACATCTATCAGTCATATAATTTATCATAGTCATTAAATGATTATACAGGTGCAGCCGAACATTTTCCCAGGCCTATCCTTCCTTTCTAACTCCACTGAATATTCCAATTTTAGAAACATGTTATCCCTATTCTATCACTGCCAGCTCCTCAGCTCTCCGTCTGGGGTGTGACTGCGTGCAGCAAACACACCAGGGGTGTTTCCCTGGGATCCTTCACTGTGAAAAATGTGTATTTTGTGACTGGCTTTTTGCAAATATTCAAATGAATATTATATGTGTTAGAAAGTTATGCTGTGTTAATTTTCTTAAGTAGTGTGTTAAATATAGTTTTAGGTTACAACATAATGTTAAAATAGAAACTATGCTGTGTGAGATACTTTTTTTTAAAGAAAGGACTCGCATTGAGTTAGCAGCCACAGGACACCTCAATCTTTCAGAGAAAGAGAATTTATTGCTCCTTTATCAGAAGAAATGAACTCCTTCCCACCTCACTCAGCCATTGAGATGCCGTCAGGATCAAGAGGAAGAAACTGACACTGCCCAGACAGAATCCTGTGTTCGAATGGAATTTATGCATTATGGATGAGGTGTATGAATATGCAACAGGCTGCTGCTTTTAAGGATTAATCCTCTGTTGACATGGGTCCTTTTTCAGGCATATTTTGCCTAGAAAAGGTACCCAGACTGTCAGTAACTCTTTGTTTCTATTGTCTCATATTGTCCTTATCCAAATTGTCCAAATTATTATTGCTCTAATTATTTTGCTATTTTTTTATAACCATTTTATTATTATGAAACCTTTAAAATTTTAAAAACAAGTGATTGGCGTTTTTCACATTCACCCTTTAGATCTGGGGTGAGTTAGGCTGCGGTGATTTTAGCTTTAGATTGACCAGTGTTAGATTTTTGTCTCTGTGTGCTTTAACCACTGAGCAAGCAGCAGAGTGAACTTTGCCCATGAACCTCGTTGTGCTTTTGCTTTTATTTCAAACCTCCTTTTGCTGATGCTTTGCTGGTGGTTCTTCAGGTGACCTCAAGCCTCACACGTGCCACAAAATGTTAAATGGCAATATAAAACCACTAAACTTCTGGTGGCAGTGCCAGCGGTTCACATCTGGGAATACATCACCACATGCTGGAAAATTGAATTGTTTTTGTAAATTGTCTCTTTTCATTATTGGAGGGTTAAAAATTTCAGCCATAAGGGAATTCCTGAGTTATTGCAGAGCTAAAATGACATTTCTGTGAGTTGCGGATGCAGCTGATCCTGGCCCTCAGCAGGGCAGGGAGCTCTGTGTGAGACCAAGCAATAGTGAGAGGGAAATGTTTAGAATTTGCCTTATTTACTGCAGATTTTAAAATCTGTGTGTGTTTTTTGTGAAGCGTGAGAAGGATTCCTTAGCTGTGCTGCTGAGCTTTAGTTCTTCTGGGAATTTAAGTTTGCAAACTTAAAAAACTTTAAACCTTAAACTCTAAGTTTTCCACCATGTAATATTACATGCTTCTATTCAGATTACACATCTTCTATTCAAATTCTTCTACTCAAATTACACACATTACAGCTGGGGTAACCCCAGGAGTTGTGGAATCACCGTGTCTGTATTTTTAAAATGTTTTTAATTACTGGGATTTAAATATTTTAAGCTACTGGAAGCTTTGTCAGCTGGCAGGGCCTGGTTTTCCATGAAAAACTCTTGGCAGAGATGTTATTTCAGTGAAGGAATTTTGAGCCAAACACAGTTCTGGGGTTTTCCATCACAGCACGTGAAATATTCCAACCTGATGATTCCAGCTTGTGCCCCTGGCAGGATGGATGAGGGATTTGGGGATGCTGTGTCTGCAGCAGCTGGGGTTTGGGAGGCTGGGATTGGGGATGGTGGGATTTGGGGATGCTGTGTCTGCAGCAGCTGGGGTTTGGGAGGCTGGGATTGGGGATGCTGGGATTTGGGGATGCTGGGATTTTGGGATTTGGGGATGCTGGGATTTGGGGATGCTGGGATTTTATAATCCTGAGACTTGGGGATTCTGTGCCTACAGCAGCTGGGTTTTGGGATGCTGGGGTTTCGGGATGCTGGGATTTAGGGATGCAGGGATTTTGGGATGCTGGGATTTGGGGATGCCGTGGCTGTAGCAGCTGAGGTTTGGGATGCAGGGATTTTGGGATGCTGTGTCTGCAGCAGCTGGGGTTTGGGACGCTGGGATTTTGGGATGCTGTGTCTGCAGCACCTGGGATTTAGGGATTTTGGGATTTGGGGATGATGGGGTTTTGGGATGCTGTGTCTACAGCACCTGGGATTATAGGATGCAGGGATTTTGGGATGCAGGGATTTTGGGATGCTGGGATTTGGGGATGCCGTGTCTGCAGCAGCTGGGGATTGGGATGCTGGGATTTTGGGATTCAGGGATTTGGAGTGCAGGGATTTGGGGTTGTAGGGATTTTAGAATGCTGGGATTTTGTGATGCAGAGATTTTATGATCCTGAGATTTGGGGATGCTGTGCCTACAGCAGGTGGGTTTTAGGATGCTGGGGTTTCGGGGTGCTGGGATTTTGGGATGCTGGGATTTGAGGATGCCATGCTCCAGAGTCCTTCACCTGCATCCAAACCTGGGGATGGCTGAAATCACCTCAGTTTACAGCCATGGGTGTTGCTTTAGGGATTTTTCTGTGTGAGCTGATTCCCAGGCTTTTCCCTGGTAGTTGTGTGGTGAGTGAGCAGGGAAGCCTTTGTTGGTCCGACAATTCCGACCTGGAGCTCAGCCAGAGCCTGGAGCAGAGCTCCATCTCCATCCCACCTGTTCCCAATGGCATCAGAGCTCCCGGGGAGGGTCCCTGGGACCTCCGTCCTGCAGAGCCCAACAGGTGGGCTCCCACAGGAGCCATTTGCACTGAGAACCATCATTTCATGGAATTCTGGAAAATCTCACCCCACTGCCATGAGCAGGGACACCTCCCACCAGACCAGGCTGCTCCAAACCCCATCCAACCCTGGCCTTGAGCCCTTCCAGGGCCGGGGCAGCCACCTCCTCCCTGGGACTGAAGGAGAACATCAATATGGATCTGTGTCCAAGCCTGGCCTTGAGCCCTTCCAGGGCCACCTCTTCCCTGGGACAGAAGGAGAACCACAGTATGGATCTGCGTCAGTATGGATTTATGGTCCATAAATGTATTTGATGGACCCTTGTGCCAAGAGCTCCAAGCCCTCAGTGCTCAGAAAGGTTTGGCTGCTTCCCTGCTTGGCTCCTGCAGGCCAGGGCCAGGTGGTTTGGGGTGGTTTGGGGTGGTTTGGGGTGTTTGGGGTGGTTTGGGCTCAGTGGCTGGCCCTGGCTGGCAAGGAGGGCAGGCTGTCCCTACGGCGCCGCACTGGCGCAAGCTGGAGGCACAAGTTCTCCCGGAGCAGCTCCTCCTTCTGGTCCTGCAGCCGGACCCTGGTGTCCCTGAGCAGCTGGCAGTGCTGCAGGAGCCCCATCAGCTCGTGGCGCAGGAGCCTGTTCTCAGCCTTCACCTCCTCCACGTGCTGGATCAGGGCCTTCATGGCCACCTCCTGCGCGCCCCAGGTGAGCTGCTGCATCCTGCGTTGGAACTGCTGCTCGCACTCGGCCTTGTCCTGCAGGAACCTGCTCCTCACGGCGTGCGTCTCCTCGGCGCAGCGGATCCTGGTCACCCGCAGCTCCCTCTCCAGCGCCTTCAGCCTCTGCTCCGCCTCCACCTTCTGCTGCTTGTAGGGCTCCAGCTGCTGCAGCTCCGTGTCCATGCGCGAGGCCTCAGCCTCCGTTTCCTCCAGGACGCTCCGCACCTCCTGCTCCTTGCCGGCGTAGCGCGGCACCAGCTCCTCCTTGTGCGCCTGGATTCGGGCCAGCTCTTGGCGGTGGTGGTCGCTCAGGGTGATGATCATGCCCGGGGGGTCCTGGCTGAGCTTTTCTCCGCAGCTCAGGTAGGACTGGCTCTGCTCCTCGGTGTGCTGCGCTTCCTTCTCCTGCTCTTTGGAGGCCTGCAGGACCTGCTCCGCCCGTGCCATGTAGGTGTCCAGGTGTTGTGAGATGATCCTGCATTCCCCCTGCAGGTAC